CCTGGTGCTGCCGGTCCTGTTTAGCTTGTTCGGGGGCCTGCAACCAGCGCCGGTCCCCAGCAAACCCAAAGGGCCATCGAGACAGCTCGTAGCCCCGCTGCAGCTCCGGGTGGGTTCCCTGTCCTAACTCAGCAGAGGCAATCCTGGAGCAGGGCGTTTGCAGCAAGGGCTCGCTGCAAACCGGCCCCCCGGGCTGGCAGAGCAGCACAGAGCGGCTGCCCTGCTTCGGAGAGGATTTTCGGGTTGTGCGAGGTGGAGGAAGGCACCTTATCCGCCTCCCCGGTGAGGTGAGGTGAGCGCCGATGCTGCTCGTCCTGTCTCACCCGTTGGGGGGTAGTTTTGCAACCTGCCAGCCCCTACCCAACACCTGCACGCAAAACCAGCGCGGTGGAGAGCGAGCGCTGGGCTCCATTTTAGGACAGCCTGTGCCACATTAAGTCATACAAATAAATAAATGCCCAGAAAACAAGAAAAAAAAAAAAAAAACAACACACCAAAAACTCTTTCCAATCTGCCAAGTACACAGTACATCAGTAAAGCGGATCAGCTTCACGCTGGCCTGCAAAACACTCCTGGCACTGTGATTTTCCATGAGTGATCAGGCAGCTTTTCTGGGTATAAATTCAATTTATAATTCTAAAATTAGACCAGGAACGTAGTGGGGTAGCCAAGAAAAGAAAGTTTGGCTGGTGAAAGCAGCCCTGCCCAGCGAAAGGTATATTACATAAATCCCGCCTGAAGCTGAACAACTCCAGCACTGCTGATGGGGAAATATCTGGTGATAAATCCATTAAGCTTCGTTGATCCGACAGTGTCAGGACTTCAGAGTCCTGACGTTTTTTAATTTTTTTTTTTTAACATCTTAAGCTCATTTAGCTACTGAGCTGCTTTATTCTTCTGAAAGGAAACAGTGCTGAGGGTGAGAATGTGGCGTGGCTCGACGCAAGCCTGTCTGGCAGCACCGGGGATGGTAACGAGAGGCCAGAGACCCCCCCAGGGACCAGGGAATGGGGGATGACTGTGCCGTCAGAGCCGGCTGTCCAGATTCATCCCTTCCCAACCCCCCTGACATGGGCTAGGAAATAACCCCCCTGCCACTTTTCCTGTCCCCAGACGCAGTCAGGAACATCCCGCCCGAAGGAGCGATGCCATCGGTACCCAGGCGATGCCGGGGCTGCCCCAGCCCCATGTGTGAGAGCTGATGTGCCGGGGACCCTGCGCCCTGACCTGGACCCCAGGACCCCGTGTCCTGCCCTGAGCTGAGCATCGGGGGACGTGGAGAGCAGGTGAGCAGAGCCACGGCCGTCAGCAACCGCCCTGCCTCGGGGCTGGAGCTTTCCAAACCCACCAGATTAGGAGCTGGATGAGGGGTTTGCCTTTGGTCCCTGGCACTGGGGCTCTGTTTGCAGAGGGCACCCATCACTTTGAAATATGCCTGGCCTCGCCAGCATGCCAAAGGGCTGTTCCTGGCCCCGCCGTGGGGCTGCATCCAGCACTGCTGGGTGTATATTACAGTGACAGCTCTGCAAAGAGCTGAGGGCTGTAAATGAAATCCCTGTCTCAGGGAGCAAGCTCCACCCTGAGGGACTCTGTGGTCTGGTCTTCATCAATAAATCTCCCTCAATAAATCCTCTCAAGCAGGGTGGAGAAGCAGCAGGCTAGGGGTTCATGCCTTGGCCAGTCCACACTGGGTGAGAAGGGAGCAAAGCTGAACCCCTCAGAGAGTCCGAGCTCTCTGCAGGGTTGCTCTGCTGCGGCAAAAGGCTGAATCCTGGGTACAGATATATGGCGGGCCCAAAGTCCTTGCCAGGTTTGCTGCAGAGTGGCAGTCCTGCCTGCAGGCAGGGACAGAGGCTGGCATCTCAAAAGGCACCGAAAACGGCAGTAGCTTTTCCCCGCTGATCAGATCCCCAGCAGGTCACAGATCCCCGCTGACCTGGAAGATCTGAGGAAAAGAAAATCGGAAGCGAGCCCCAACCGTAGTGGCACCGCAGCCACAGCCATGCACGGCAGGCAAAGCTGCTGCCCACACCCCAGCCCCAAATCCTGATCTGCCGGGCTCTGCCCGCAGCGTTGAGTCACAGCAGCAAGGATCCGGATCCGGCGCTGAGCACCTGGGCTGCCCCCGCGCCCTCCGCCTCCAGCCACATCCAAGCCCAGCCCTGAGTCCCCAAACCACGGGCTGGCACGAGCCCCGGCCCAGATGTCACTTCCCTGGGATGTCCCGGCTGGAGCCCTATGTCCCAAAATCCCAGGTGCTGTTCAGCCCTTGGGGAGCGGGCAGCACCAGGGTAGGCAGGGGCTGATCTGGCACCAGCGAGCATCGTAGGGAGCCCGCGCAGCCACCGCCAGCTCTGCTCCCAGTTGCAACCCCTTCCCAGTTTACAGCACTGGGGAATGCAATGGGAATTAGTGCCTGAGCACTTCAGTGTTCCCTGTCATCATTCATGGCTTCAGCCCCGTGACGGCAGCGGTGGGTCTCACAACCTCCCTTCAGCCCCAGGGAGGTGCTTTGCCCAGGGCAGAGCTGAATTTAGGACTCAGCGATTCCGGGAAGTGTTTCCTCTTAACATCGGGGTTTGGGTTTTTTTCCTTTTTGGAGCAGAGCTGGGTGTTACTTCCCCCCGGATCATTATTCAGCCGTAGCTCTTGGGGCTGAGCAGCAGAGATCAGTTCCCAATCCCATTTCACAGCAGCCGATCCCGAGCTGCGCGAGCAGCGACAAGCCATGCCATGCCTCGGGTGGCTTTTACTTGCTGGGAGAGATCACCCAGCCCTGGGAAAGGCTGGGTTCTGCCCAGTGAAGTGGGAGCAATGAATATGTTTTTCGTTGTTTCCCCAGCGAGTGAGATCTCTGCTCTGTTTGTGCCAGATTTGCTCAAAAGGCAAACGAAGTGACTCCGAGATGGTTTGTGTTTAGGCAGCTGTTTTGCTGATCCAAGCACACTAAGAGCACGCAAGCCCAGCTCGCTTGCTTCTGCTCCCCGGCGCGTGCCTCATTTCTTTTGAAAATCAGACGCTTTAGGGGAAAGTTTCTTCTTCCAGCTCTGCGTGCCCACATCTTGCATATGCAGGCGATCCGGCACACCTCTGCTCTGCATGCAGATAAAGGCACAGGCGGGCTGTCGGCAAAGAGCCGGGCTGGGAGCGCGCTGGAGCCCAGTGGAAACCTCCCCGTGCTGCCACGGGACTGCAAAACCCGGGTCCCAGCCCAGCCTTTCACCTTCGAACCACGGAGAGGAGATTTTCTCCCTGGTCACCTCTGCATGGTTGAAGGCCGAGTGCCCAAGTGCTTCATCAGGAACGGGATTCCTGGCTGCAGCTTAGCCAGACTTTTTGCTCTCCCCATGTTCCCACATGGAACTCCCTTGGGATTCCTGGCTGCAGCTTAGCCAGACTTTTACAGCCGAAGCTCCTGCGTGGGGATGCTGAATGCTCCCACATGGAACTCCCTCTTTTTCCAGCATGGTTTTAGTGGTCCCAGAGGACACACTGGGGTGGGCAGGGTTTTCCTGACCTGCTCGGTGGGGCAGGGAAGTTGCACACCCCTCCTGACCAAACCCCAGGGGACCCTCCACGATGCTCTGCAGGGATGTTTGGATGCGTGCCCCTCCCTGGTACCACCATGGACCTGGGCCCACAGCTATTTCGGGGGATCCGAGATTCCCCAAGGCTTTTGCTGATGGAAAGAGCTTATCCCAGCATCAGCATCCCAGGGAGCAATGAGGTCATCACTGAAGTAATGAGCTTTCTCCTTTCAAAAGTTTTTGCTTTTTGTCCCTGCTAGTAATTTTAAAACTTATGGCATTAGGGCAAAATTCTTAAAATTAGGTAAAAAATCTTAAAAATTCTTAAAATGAGGGCAACATTCTTAAAAAACAACCACTTTACTTTCAGGCTGTTTGTTTACCTCCTGCCTTTCTGAGCTTACTGAGCTGGGGGTGTCGTGGGTTGCTCTCCACTTCTCCTGTGGGGGTTTGGGGGTGTTTTCAACCCAAAAAAAAGGAAAAAACAAGGGTTTTTTTAGAAAGCCGATCACTCTATCTGTTCTCAGGGATTATTAAACACTACTGCCAGCACTAAGTGATGGTACTCAGCATGATGGAGCACTAATAACCCTGTAACATCAATGGGGAAACTGAGGCAGAGGCAGGTAGAGCAGAGACTGTAGCCCAGGGCAGGAGCTGGGACCCTGCTCCCAGTAGGAGGGACTGGGGGCAGCCAGCACAACACGGGTTGCCCCAGTTGACATCCAGCCCCATGGGTCCTGTGCCCGCACCAGCTCTGCACCCATCAGGGCGTGGCTCTGCACTTCACCTCTCCAGCTTTCTGTGAAAAATGGGCTGAACAAAACTCCGTTTGGTGTCTCCCAAGGGTTCAAAGGGGCTGCAGCCAGTGAGGCCACGCGGGGAGCTGACAGCGGGGTGGCCGAGTGGTACGTGTTGCCTCCACAGAAGCTGTGCCTGGTGCCAGAGGGAGGAGGGATGCACGGGAGCATCTCAGGACCCGCTGGGAGATGGGTCCATCAGGCTCAAGCACCAAAGCTGCTGCAAGTTTTCCCGTCAGCAGTCCCCAGCAATGTGGTCCCAACACAAGCCCCGTAGCCCCTTCCTCAAGAAGATGCCCTGCCCTGCCTCATCCCAGAGAACTGTAGTTTCAATAGCTCAAAAAGTAGAGGAAAAGCCTGATTTTACAGTTGGGCTTTCAGTGCTCTACCATTTTGCCCATGTTCCCAGCCTGGGGCTGAGGCAGTGTGGACAGGTCTGATAACGTGTCCCCGGGTGAGCCTGCCTCTTCATGCATGCGAGTGGTTTAGCAAATGATTCATTTTCTAGATTTGGGCTTTGCTCTGTTTCCGTGACTTTGCAAAACATCTCGTACACCAGAAACTTGTCTTTTATTGGACTTTTTGTTTCTGTTTTAGACTGAAACCTGAATAATTGGAAGCAAAAAGACATCCTTGCGCTGGAAGCAGCCCAGAGTGCGGCACAGCCCTGAACATGACCACAGAGAGTTTTGCAGAGTTCCTGAATAAGCTCAAGGAAATCCATGAGAAAGAGGTTCAAGGTAAGAAGACATGAGAAATCTTATTAAAAACTGGCCAAGGTCCATTTCTTTGTACTGCCACCTCGATCTGTTTGGTTTCATATAACGTGAAGGGAGGAGGAGCGGGTGTGGATTAGGGAGCTTTGGGAATTAGGGCTCAGCAAGGATCACCCACAGGGATGGATGGGGATGCAGGGTCACAGCCTGGCCCTCGGGAGAGCACACCCTCCAATGGCACCTTGGGATCTCACACCAGTAGAGAACGAGGTTTCTTGAGAAAATCAGAAACTTTTCGGGTGATGAGGACTAGCAGTTTTTTCCTGCATCTGATGTTACTGGAGAGCAAGCCACGGAGGTGCTCAGCCTCTGCAGGAATCCCACTTGCTCCAAGCATTGGTCACAGGGGATTTGGCTCCTTTCCTGCTCCCGCTGCTGTAGTCTGCGATAAAGGTAAATCGGGAGGTTTGCAGAAGTGACATGCACGCCTGCTGGGCATCTTCTCTGAGTGATGTGGATTGGAGTCTATTTGGACACTGAGGGATCAAAGGGAAAGTGGAAAGATACAGTCATCTATAAGCAGAAACAGCAGGAGTATGAGACTGTTAAAAAAAAAATAATCTTAAGAGTCAGGTTGGGTAGTTTATTCCTCTAGGGAATAAATTATTCCTCAGATCATACATCACTAAAATGAGAACCATTACGTTAAGCAACCAAATGCCAAATCCAATTGTTTTCCCATTAGAATAATTCCCAGTATCAATATTATGAACAACACAACAGCGCTTTTGGAGGATTCCGGCTTATTAATTCATTCTTCTCTTGTGTAATTTCAAGCCATGTGAGAGCTAGAGGAAACTGTTGAGCAATTCAAACCACATGTTTACATCAACTTTGCATAAAATGGATTTGACAGGATGTAACGTCTGCAGATCCATCAACGAAAACTGCTCTTGTTCAGCTGTAAATACCCTCCAAGATGCTTTGCGGCCCTAAGAGTTATAAAATACTGTCCACCTGGGAAATGAGCGCTGTGACAAGAAATCAGCAGAAACAAAACTAAAACAGACTTTTTTGGGGTGGGAGGGAAATGCAGACTCATTGAACAGTGGAAATAGAAAATGTGCTCATATTTGTACAACTTTTCCAGCTATATTAAACTGTGATACTGTTTAACACAGGTAACGTGTTGCTCCTTCTTGGAAATAAGGTTTGTAAGTTGATGAGGTTTCTGCAAAGCCAGGCACCTCCTGAAGTTCCATCTTTGCATTTTGTCTCCAAAGTGCCGGGGAACTGGCAATAAATACCCACCTCTCTGTCTCTGTTCGTTATTCCAGGTCTGCAAAGCAAGCTGACGGAGCTGACGACGGAGAAGTGCCGGTGAGCAACACCACGTCTGCTCAACCCACGCTGCGGAGGGACGGGGGGGCGGAGGGGAGGTTACGCCGCTTCATTTTCAGACCTCCCGGGCACTCCTCCCGGGCGGCCTGATTTAGAGAGCACAGTTTGCCTTTCTGGCTCTGCCAAATTCAAGCCTTTTGGTGGCTTTTGCCATGCAAGTCCTCAGCACAGGCAGGGCTTGGGGCCAGCGCAGCCCACCTCCAGTTTGCCTTCCCGCCGGCAAGTGCTGTTCGTGCCAACGGGCACTCGCTCTCTTGGGAAGCAATAAACTGGGACAAAGCAAGCTGCTAACTCCAGGGGTGGGTGTCACAGGGCAGCGTCTGGGCTCTAAAACACATTTGTTTCCCCTCCTGCCACACAAGCAAAAGCAATTCAGCCACACTGGTGTGAGCAGCACGGAGGAGTCAGGGCAGAAATCCTCCCCCTCGGCAGAGTGCTGCAGATAAAGGCAGAGATTTTGGGGAGAAATCTAATAATCCTTTCTCTGTTCGGTTTCTTCAACTAGTGATGCTCAGAGAATTGAAGAGCTGTTTGCTAAAAATCACCAATTAAGGGAACAGCAGAAAGTCCTTAAAGAAAATGTAAAGGTGTTAGAAAACAGGTAAGATTTGTTTTTCAACAGGGCGCTGTTATGTGGCAGCAAGTGCACCCTCCAAGGGGGAGAGTTTGAGGTTTGTTGTGTTCCCAGAAGTGGAATGTAACTTGTGAACCTCTTTTTTGCTTATACTCAGCTGCTGGGAGAACTGGGGGAATCCAGGCACGTGCAGAGGAGCTTTCCTAAGCTGATGATGGTGGGACTGGATTAGGGCGGGGGTGGAAGGGCCAGGACTGGACTGCACGGGTGATAGTCCCTCTCACCAGTTCTGGGCGGTGGGCTGGGTGTTCACGGTTCTCCGTGGGGAGGGCAGGAGCTTATTTCCCCCAGGGGAACCGCGTGGTACCAAACCGCCGTGGGTTTTCCTCCAGGCTGCGAGCGGGTCTCTGTGACAGATGCATGGTCACCCAGGAGCTGGCGAAAAAGAAGCAGAATGAATACGAGACCTCCCATTTCCAGAGCCTGCAGCACATCTTCATCCTCAGTACGTACCGCCGCCTGCTGTAAGCTCAGCTTTGGCTGGCTGAGCCTTTGCTCAGTTAATGCCTCTCCCAGATAGCTGCACGTGAGCCCTCGCGGTGCTAAAGGGCACCCAGGAGGGGTTTGGGGATGGGGAGAAGGGAGGGAGCCAATGCGAGTGTGGGGGCCTTGAAAAATCACCTCTGACCAGAAAAACGAGAAACGATCAAGCCAAGAGCAGCCCTGAGCAGGCCAGGCCATGTCAGCTGCCTGGAAAACAGATGCATTTGGCACCGCAGAAGCGACACTCTGGCAAAGACAGGAAAGTCACAGCAGCAGCTCAGCACGGGTAAATGGAAATCAAGCAACACGTGTGATGGATCTTCTCCCGAGGCTTTGGCAGAGCTCCCGGCACTGCTCGGGCTTGGGGTGTTTTTCCCCAGGGATCTGGCTGGCCCAGAGGAGGGTCGTGGGGGTAAAGGAGATAAGGCGTGAGGAGGGATGGAGAGGTGCCAGCAGCCCTTGGTTTATCTCCCCTGTTACGCCACTGCTTCCCAAGCGCTGCTTTCGAGCAGGAGCAAGCTGAGGCAGCAGCCCACCCTGCCCGGGATCCTGCCTGCTCTCGCTCGCTGCCTCCTCGCCGCGGAGCCCGGCTGCTGGGTGCTCACAGCTCCCTCTGGTCTTTGTCCCCTCCACCTCGAGGTCCCCAGCCCTCCCCCTACACAGCATCCACTCATCGGAGGCGGCCGTGGTGCTCACGGGCAGGATGCTGGCTCTGTTCATCCCACCCCATCTGGGTTGCGCTCTCCTCCCAAGCCGGACAGGCTGCAAGCAGCCCCCCAGTCCAGACCAAACCTGAGATGGAAAGTCACTCCCTTTTATCCCTTAGCCGCCAGCGTGTTTTCATAGAAGGAAGGAAATTCGGCATCCCTCCAAAACCTCGTGCTGTTCCCTCCTCCTCCCCCTTGCACCCCAACCAGCTGCGATGAGCACCAGCTCTCTCCTTGCAGCACCCAAATCCACGGCACAACTTGTGTCCCTGCAGCTAACGAGACGAGCCGCCTGAGGGAAGAGAACAAAACTCTCAAGGAAGAACTGAAGAGGCTCCAGAGCCTGGAGTAAGTGCTCTCCCCAGGTTTCATTCATTAGGAGGGGTGTTGGTAAGAACAGAGGCATCCCCACAGCCAAGCAAGGTTACATCCAGACCATGGTGTCTTCTGGGGTATTTTAGCATCTAATTCCTACAGATTCCTGTAGATGTTAGAAACCAAAACACCCATAATGGTCTCCAAGCCTTTGTTGACCTTTGCTCGCTCCCCTGTTCACCTGCACCCAAGGATTCAGTTTTTGGGGAACAAGGGTATTCAATACCCCCCCTTGAGGGACTGCTCATGGGAAACAAAGCATTGGGCTACTTGCCTTGGCCACGGACCTCAACCTGGCCTTCCATGGATTTTTCCATGGCACCAGCTCCCCTCCTGCAACAGCCAGAGAAGGTCTCCAGGAAGCAGGTTGTGTTTTGGGGGAAGGATAGTGATGTGCGAGGGACTGAGATGGGATTAAGAGGGAGATGTGACCTGTGCCAACAGGTTCATATCCCAGCAGAGCACTGTGCTGAAAGCCAAGTAACCTGCCTGGCTGGCCAATATATACAAATCAGCTCATTCCTCAAGGTTTTAAAGTCCAGAGGAATTAGCACTGAGGGATTAGTTTAGAAACAAGTTTTCTTTGGAGCACAGAAACACCATCCGCTTAAAGAGAAACTCTAGCTTTTAATCCTCGATGCTTCCCAAGGCAAGTTTCAGAGCAGGTGGTTTGCTGAGCACCGAGTGCTCCTGCTCTGCTCTGCTCTGCTCTGCTTTGCTCTTCCTTGGGCTGCTGGATAGGAAGATTTCCAACCAAACACCCATGTCTCGGCATCAGGGTCCAGCCAGGACTTTGTCCGTGCCATAAGCGTAGGTCTCTGAGACCCAGTGGCTCCCTCATAGTGACCAAGAGCATCAGCCCCATCAGCTCGATAGGGTGAAGTGGCAAAGCTGCCACATCCCCATGCTGCATCCACCCCTCCATCAGGCTGAAAGCCCACCCGGGGATGTACAGGTTCTCACAGAGCTTTTGCAATTGCCGCAGTTGGGTTTTGGCTCACCCAACGTCATGGCTTCCTGCGACGTTACCCATGGCCAAGTGGGGAAATCAGACCTTGAGCTGTCCTGCTGGCTCTATCCCATGCTCCAGACTGGAGTTGAGCTAGTGATAAGCTGCAACGGAAGGAGGTGAGTCTGAGGATCCGGTATATCCACATACATATAAATATGTATATTTATATATCAGGCCCTATAACTCAGAGCTCTCAAACCTTCCTTCTCCTGCCCCTTCCTATTCATTCATATCCTTTTCCTTTCAACAGGGACAGGACAAAGCACCCAGGAGTCAGTTCCAGAGAAAGCAGCTCCACTCCCAGCTCCCCTTTGGCTTTACTGTCCCCAGTGAGCAGGAACGTCAGCACCGAGAAAGCAGCTCACAGGGGAGTAGAAGAAGCCCACCACGATGCACCAGGCCTTGAGCTGGGAGAAGGTAGGTGCTGCTGGCTCCCACCACCCTCGAGGGACCTGGGGCTGGGAAGAGTGGCTGAGCTATGGTTCAAAGCCGCTCTGGGAAAGGGTCTGGAGAGCAAAGACCAAGCTGTTGGCAGCTCAGATGGACATCACCATGGGCAGAATAGCTGCTGGAGGGGAAAATGCATGTCAAGGGAGGAACACGCTGCTCTGCATTAGAACAAAAGACTGCTTGGTTGTCCTCACTGTAAGACAAGTGCTGTGCAGGTGTGGACCCACCACCCATTGCATGCAGAGACCATGTCATTGCCTTGCTGCCACCTACACATGCAGCGGAGGGTACGTTCAATAAGGTGCTGGCTTGAGCCGGCCAGAAATTTTGGCTCGCAGTCTTCAGTAGGAGGTGGTTGGTGTCAGCCATTGGCATCCTTAGGAGGCTGCAAGATTCCAGCACGCTGCAGGACAGAGCAGCCTGCAACAGCTCTGCCGGACCATCATGGTGACTGGTTGTGTCTTTTTGCAGAAAAGCCTGCAGGACAGAGAAGCTCTCCAAGCAGTAGGACTTCCCCAGGCACTGTCCTCCAAGAAGTCAGCCTTGCAGAAATGGTGAGTTGCCGGAGGTAGCATGATGTCCTCAGGCCTTCTCCCCACCACTGTGGTCATCTGAACTGG